AGATGCCAAGAAGAAAGCAATCCATCAAGTAAATCCCCAAACAGCCATTTCTACCTCTTACATCAACAACACTGGAGATGAAGCTGAATGGGCCATTTTGTAGCCAACAGATTTCATCTATCAATTAACTGAACTTGAGTCTGTGCTTCAAACTTCAAGACTTTTTTGTCTTGTTTTATTTTGATTAGTTTCTCCCCTTTTGTGGCTTCGACTTTGTTCTTGTCAAAGTTGTTGCTGTTCTCCTGGAGAGTGCCGGAGTAGAAACAGGAGCTACCTCCCTGACTAACAGGGTTCATAGCATTGGAGCATTTAATGTTTTTTATATTTTTTTCGTGGCTGTTTTTTCCGTCACTGTTTTTCACACATGTACAGTGGCTGTGCAAACGTTTCTAGGCAGTTTAGATGATTAGCTTCTTGTCTATTAAACAATATCATTAGGAGGCGTCTGATTGGTCCCAGAATCGTTCTGCAGCAGGACAACGAGCTCAAACATACAGAGTCATAAAGAGTTATCTTCCTGCAACACAGAGCCCTGATCTCAGCGTCATGGAGTCAGTCTGGGATCACATGATTAAATCACAGACTAAATCCAGAGAAGAACTGTGGCAGGTTCTCCAAGATGCTGGATCAACCGACCTGACAAGTACCTGAAGAGAACGGGTGCTGGTTCAAAGACAAACACTGATACTGATGTAGCTTTTCTTTCTCTTTTCAGATAAATAAAAAACAACCTGACTTCACTTTTGGTGCCTAAAACATTTACACAGTACTGTATATCTAACCAAAACAACAAACTTTGACAGTGCATTAAAAAAGTAATTCCTATGTAATGAAAAATGGAGGTCGTATTTATTGTAAATAAATAGATAATACACATTTCTTTTTGAGCATGCTGGCAGCGAGGCTTCAGGGATGGCAATGTCAGTTTCTATGGTCGCTCAGTCCACCAGAAACCAGAAAATATTTCAACTATTTTTCGGACATTCATGGTCCCCAGAGGTTGAATCCTACTGGCTTTAGTGATACCCTGACTTTTCCTCCCGTGCCTCCACGACATTGGTGATTTTGAGTGAAAAATCTCACCAACTGTTGGATGGATTGCTATGAAAGTAGTGCCAGTTATCAATTCTTGCTATTCCTGCTAAAACAGGTATATTTATTTACCTGTCGATCGCTGCACGTCCAAAAATATATAGTGAAATAATGAGTCACTGTCACGGCAGATGAGCTGATAACAGAGGACGCTGTAAACAGGGTGTGTGTTCACAAGAGAGCAGAGGAGTTTTGATTAGAGGTTTTTGAGTCACGAATTCAGTGTTTACAGTTTCTCTGAGCCAAAGATGACGTCTTCAGGTTGTTTGTTTTGTCTGAGCAACAGAGATATTCAGTTTACAATGACAACACAGAGGAAAGAAGCAAATCCTCAAGTCGGAGAAGCTGGAAAATGACTTGATTCATTGACTAATAATCTACTTTTTTATGTTTTAATATTGGCTTTTGGGCCGAAAATCTGTGCGGTAATCTATGTGTAGTAGATATACAGAGAAAGGCAAATTTACACTGTCTGAATCACACAAACTCTCTCTCTCTCTCTCTCACACACACACACACACACACACACACACACACACACACACACACACACACACAGATGAAGTGATGGGTCGTATAGAGTGTGTGCTGCAGTGTTGAGAGCAGAGGCCACTTCCTGTCCCGCTGCATCGGAAATACCAGCCCCGAAGCCTCTGAGGCTGGATTCAGATTAGACTACAAACACTCGCGTACACATTCACACTTTAAGTAAACTCAACCACGCGCACGCCCCAGAGCAACACACGCGAGCAGCAGCAGCAGCAGCAGCAGCAGCAGCAGCAGCGAATAAACAGCGAGGTTGAAGCTTGTGAGAGCTCAATGCAGCACCAGCACATCTCAGCGAAATGTAGCTGCCTAACCTCAAACACCAAAACACACACACACACCACACATATATGTACACACTCATACACACATCGCACACAAACACTCACACGCACAAAAAAAAAAAAAAAAAAAGTCCCATCCGCTGGGAGTATTGTTGGATTCTTCCTCCTCTGACGCCCGTGAGGCTCTTGCTTGGGAAAAGGAAACGCAGTCTTGTGTAACCTTTATACACAGCAGAGACAGAGAGAGTCTTTTTGTTGGCAGCGCCAGAGGTCAGGCCCTGAGCTCCGCTTTAATCCTGATTTCTACAGTCAACATCTTGTCAGCTCCAGAGACTGAAGGCCTTTCTCCTCCGTGACATTGGGAGGAGCGTTTCACTGCGAGCAGATGAATACATACGTGCAAGTGCAATCAAAATAGATTGGAGAGCACATGTCTATTTTTTGTCTGCACAGAGAGGAGAAGAAGTTATCATTAAAGCTGCATTAATCAATATTTTTTATATCTAATGTCAAAGATTATCATCAAACTACAGTTCCCCTCAGAGTGTTTTTAGTCTATTTTTAAATCAGTGTTTTGTTTCATGGCTCTCAGTGTTTGTGTTTGGTTCACTCTTGGCTTTTCTCAAGCTTGTTTCCAGCAGCTGTTTTTCAGCAAAGTCTCATGCACCCAGTGTGCATCACCTTCCCCCGGGAACAGCAGACTTAAAGGTCCCATGTAGTAGAAAGGTAGATGTCCATGTCTAGGTTCTATATTAATACTGTGAAAGTATCAAAGCGCTCAGTAATGACAAAAAGTTTCCCTACGAAACCAACTTCATGAAAAACACACACCCTCAGGCAGTGGCTCAGGAGGTCGAGCGGGTCGCCCACTTATCAAAAAGGTTGACGCGTCCTTGGGCGAGATACTGAACCCCAAACTGCCTCTGATGGCCGATCCATCAGTGTATGAGTGTGTGTAGAAGTGCTGTATTAATGTGTGTGTGAATGAGTGGATGTGTTTTGAGTGGTCTATTGCCTTGTAGAGACGCTATCAAACAGTTATTGCATCTTGTGACGGGATCACACCGGCCGTGATTCACATGAGTGCTCAGCAGTCATTACAGCATGGGACCACACCCATCAGCTACACACCTGTTGAGTCTTGTGACTGCATCTTACGGTTGCGACGCTATTGCGGTGACGAAATCTGTCCGAAGACATAAACAGCTGCCTAAAGTCTAAAACCCTCGTCTCAGCCTGTCTCTGACTGTGTCCGTCTGCTGTTTGGTGCTGGGCAGGTACAGAACAGAAACAGCTGCTTGATGCTGCTGGATACAAGGTTGATGAGAGTAGGGAGACTGAACCGTACAGAAAATGTGCCAAAACTATGAGGTAAAAGAGACTGAAAAAGCTTCAAACAGCTGCCAAATTGGTGATTAATTCTTCCAGAGTTTGTCATTGAGAGTGACGCCTTTCACATTAGCGTATGAGTCGTATGATTTGTCGTTAATATAAACCATGTTGGGAATATCACATCTTGCTTCACTACCAAACATAAACACACACATTTGAGTGCGTTCGTGTTTCTGAGAGGGCGATCCCCCTCCTCGAACATCTCCGAAGTTCCCGATCTGAAAGCCTGTTGAGTTCCTCAGTAAGACCTCTGCATCAGTGTGTATGTACGTCAGTGGGATCTGACGCTGCCAAATGCCCCAAATGTTTCCGTAAATCACAGACGTTGTAAATTATCAGAGTAAATATGAAGCAGGCGATAGAACTGATTGAGGGGGAAACTGCTGCTTGGTCTGTTCACAACAGCTGCTGCTGCTGCTGTCGGGGATGGAGATTGGTCGTTCACACACAAACACAAACACACACACGCACATGCGCATTACAATTAACCACTTAGAATCAGACAGGGTCATTTGATTGGTGATTGGCGATATTACCTTAACATTGTTGTTGTCATGGCAGCAGAATGCAGGAAATACCTTTTTGACTGTAATGTTGTGGCTGTACTATGTTGTATAACGTGTATTACACACCCCCTGGGCTTTAACCCATGAAACCAACTTATCAGGCCTCTGACATCTTCTCAGAAATGTTTCCCTCCGACCTCTTCCCTCTCTCTTTTTCGACTCTTCCTCCTCTTGCTCTGCGACTCCCGGCAGACTGTGGAAAAAGTCCATTAGTTGTTTACATACTCCCACTTTCTCCTCCTCCACTTGTGAATTAATGTAGCGAATCACGCAGACCGCTCTCCTCTCCTCTCCTCTCTCCTCTCCCCTCCTCTCCTCCGAGGGAGTTATTCACATTTAAAAGCCCATAATCAAACACCTACGCATTAAATGGAAGGCCATTAATGCTAATGGTATACCTTGGACTGAGCCGAGATGAAACCTTGAAGAACTACACACTATTAGGGCACGGCAAGGACTTTATCCTCCTTGAGTTGAGTTGGGTATGTCTTTCATTTCATCTGAGGTGATGAGAAGGTCAGAGATCGGAGCAGTTGGGAAGTATTCAATCTCAAAGAGGAGAGAAATTCATCTCGTTAATTTCCTCTCTTTCTCTTTGCAAATTTACCACCTACCAAGTGTTGTGATGCAGAGCCTGAGCAGAGGAGATTATTGATTTGTATTGTGAGTTTCACCGCAAACCTCATTTCACTCTCCGAACAGCCTGATTCAAATTATACTATTTTAGTAAGGGGGGGAAATACAAATTGCCAGGCTGGAAGCTGCCCTGTGGAAATCTGTGGTCACTCCTGTACCAAGTGGGCAGCCAGCTCACTCTGGGATCCATCATTTCCTCTCAGGGAGGGTCAGCAACATTCACCCTCTCCCAGATTTTATCTCCCAAACTTCACCAGCCTGTCCACAACTTCTCCCACATCTCGTTCGGTCACAGAAATTACAAAGTAATTTCAGCCTCCCCCAGGCAGGCGCTCGAGTGTCTGAAGTGTTTCCCTTGGGTTATTTTTAGGACATCCCCCTCCTGGTGGTTCAGATGGTCCGGTCTGGGCCAGAGGAAGGGGAGTGGTAGGGGAAAGGGGAAATCTTCAACAATGACTTCATTAACACGATGCCCAACATGACCAGCACAACTGGACTTTACTGCTCTGTTACAACTCTGGATATATGACCTTTCCTTTTGGATTTAATTCTTTAAAAAACTCTAGTTCTTTTCATCTGCGCCCACATCACTTCTAATGGGTGACATGGAAGTTTGCTAAAAGTTTCCCGCCCCTCATCCAAGACTTCAGACCTTCAGAAGCATGTTGATCACAAGTGAGTACATGTTGAGTTACATCTCCTGTGCTGTGTTACATGACAGACAGGGAGATAATGAGAACCCCAGCTTCTCAATTCTGCCTGTTTTCTTTTTGATGACAATTGACAATTGGTGCTTGATGACATTCATTAAGTTGATGATTGCTAATTAGCTTATTGAGTTGTATTTAATGAGGACCTAATTGAGCCTTGATTGGAGTGAATATGGCTTCTGGTGGAGGTACTTTTTACAACTCATTTTTTGAGTAAATACTGTATCAGCGGTGAAAATCAAAGTGTAATAGGGTTTTTTCTTCATTCATGAGGCAAAAAAAAAAAGGAATTTGAAGCACTCCAGTATCGACTGAGAGTTCTTTATTGTTTGAAAGCCGTGGGCCTGAAAACATCATGAGAGCGGTTTTGAACTCTGGTAGAATAAAAGCTTTTTCTCTGGCAGGAAGAGCGTAGGAATCGCTCTGAATGTGCGTGGGTTACTTTCAAAATGTCACATATTGGAGAGGACTGATCACCCGCTAAAGAAAACTGCAAAAACTCCGACTCTATTATATGAGTTTTTGTCTAAAAACTTTAAAATACACACCTGTATGTGTAGCTGCTGTTACTGTATGTAAATTATATTCAAATTAATCAAAAACTAATGCCTTTATTTTGAAATATGTGACCTGATATCTGCAGTTTTGGTTTTAGTCTTGTCTTTTTGCTTCCAAAGGTAACATCTGTGGACATTACATGACATGTAGTAGTCTTTGACACTTTCTCACCATGTCGTGTGACAGTGAATGTGAGTGAACATGGTGTTAAAAGCTGAGCTTAATCATCATACATCAATATATATGGAAGAAGGGGTTAAAAATCTTTTTCAATTAGCAGCAAATAAAACTGTTTTCCATCCAAATTGTTATCTACTGTATTTTTAGTGGCTTGAATGTAAATAAATGTGAGGCATAAAAGTAAAATAAAACATAACATAATTAGTAGCTGACCAGGTTGTTTAGTAAGATCAAGACAGTGACTTTTCCTTGTCAAGACCTTAGTTGCATTGCATTCTGGTCCATTTCCTGCTCAGCTCATGAAGCAGCGTGCTTCTTCAACGGGTGGATTATTTTTTAAGATGGTAGCTTTAGTATGAAACCCACACTCTTTGATTCTGACACCGAATCTCGATTCTGAATGTGATGCTGTTGACAGTTTGATAGCTCAAAGTGTTTGGTGTGAGCAAACTACTCTGTAGGTGCTGGTGTCACTTAATCTTCCTTTTACCAGATATTCGTCAGAACAGTCCTAGAAAAACAAAGTACAGTAGGTGGTATCTCATAAATAATAATATATCAGTTTACTTTTTTCTTTTTTTTTTTCAAAAACAGCTTAACTTTAGTGTATTTTTAAAACTGTGCAGTCAAACCTCACACTCATCAAGAGCTCTGTTGGTGTTAGTTTCTCCTGAACAGTTAATGAGCTGCAGTTGTTTTTACCTAACTGCACAAGTGGCTCATTAACTATGAAAAATTTAAACACCTACGGGACAACTTAAACTTTCAGATTCACTGTAGAGGTGAGAAATTTTGGAGCCCAAACTATCCGACGTTTTTTTCCTCGCTGAATAATTTAGCGATACCTGGTTAATAACATCAAGACTTTCTCACTTGTTTTGTTCATTAAAGTTACTGAGAGAGTTACAAGGTGTGGAAAACAACCCAGTCATGGTTACATTAGAAAATAACTCAAAATTTCATTAATATTAAAAATTAAACTCTTGGCTCTTTGGTGAATGTATTCTCCTTTGTCGGGCTGGCATTACGAGCTTAGCTTAAAGGAGCTATTTGTAAGTTTTTAAGGTTACAAAATCCACCTACTTCCACCTATGAAGCTCACTAATTAGCACATTACATCATTTCTTCTCATTTATGTTTAATCTGTGAGCAGTCGCCAGGAAGTTATTGGTCCCATCCAAGACATGATCCTCCACATAAACAGCAAACCGTCATTTTAACACTCTGATCTTTTATACAAGCGAGTTATAATATGTTAAACAGTTGCTTTACTGGTGCTGCTATGATACATTTGGTCAGGGCCGGAGTAGCTGCCCCCCCCCCATTCCCAGGCCTTGTACCAAGCTAAGATAAATGGCTGCTGACTGTGGCTTAACATTTGATGGACAGAGTGGTATCGATCTTCACATCTAACTCCCTGCCAGAAAGTGAGTAAGCACATTTCCCAAAATGTCAAACTATTCCTTTAAGCATATTATATCAATAGGTTCATCTAAATCTTCTTTGCTTGAATGCTAATCCTGAGCTTCACAGACACCAACGTAAAAACTTGTGAGCTCACTTTGTAGCTGAACCACCTCTGCTGAATTACGTGAGCTTTTGTTAAGCAGAGGTCAAGTGAATGTAGAATGAAATCTGCAGCTGCATTCGTACTTCAGATTAATGCAGAAACAGGTCCGGATGGATAATCACAATTTCACATGCTTGTGTTTTTTCCATCAGTTTTCCATTAGATGCAAAGGCATCTAGAAAAGTTCATAGTGATGTCTCAACAGTCATATAACTCCTAAATCATCTCTTGTACAGCCTGAATAATATGATGAATGTGAAAACTGGTAGAGGACGAGCTTAATTGCCTGCAGAGTCATTCTGGCCATTTCCTCACTGACAACGCCTAAATTCAAGAGGATGACGAACGGAGCCTTCCCACACCACAAATGGTAAAGCAAGAGTATGTGTGCTGCCTCTGCGAGACGATGTAATCACTGTTTTTTTAGGCAACTCGGCTGATTCTGACCATGACACAGAACTGCAGGGTCAGTCTTTCCAAAAAAAAGTTTATATAATTCAATCTGACGGGTAAAAACACACAAAATTTTTGGTAGGTAAGATTCTCAGTAGCTGTTGGCAGATGACCTGAAGAGCTCGTTTTGGAGGCAGAACAGAGCAGATGAAATGCTCCGAGATTAAAGAAAATAAAGAAATCTTCTCCCTCCGTGTTTTGCTTGGCCCGGTGACAGCTGGTTTGTTGCCCGGGAGCGCATTGCAGGGCTGTGTCATATCTGCTTCTACGAAATGCCCCTGTAGTCCCTCCAATTTGCATCATGGTAACCTGAGACTATACTCATCTGAGCTAAGTGAAGCCATCTTTCCACTGGCACCGAGGCTCAGGACGGACTGTTGTTAGCAACGGAGGGCAACAGTGCACAGGAGTTATGATACTGTACCTGGGTATGAGCTAATGCAGCTATACCTGCCAGCTGAGGGTGAGGCAGGTCATGCTCAGTGTGTGTGTGTGTGTGTGTGTGTGTGTGTGTGTGTGTGTGTGTGTGTGTGTGTGTGTGTGTGTGTGTGTGTGTGTGTGTGTGTGTGTGGCTTGGACCCATGAACTTAGATGAAAGATCAGAAATCATTCAAATTATTTGTATAGCACCTAAACCATGAATTCAGATTCATTTAAAGAGGAGGGCCAGAGTGGAACCAGAATAAAGACAAAAACAATCAATAAAAATAGTAAAATTGATTAAAAACAAACATATATAGAAATGCCAAAGGACAAAAACCAATCAGCATATCATATGTGCTTGACCCACAAGAGTCAAAAAGTGGGTAGAAATTTATTTAAAATTACTATTTATATACAAGAAAATAAAAAATTGCAACATACATGTGTGTTTGTATGGAAGCTAATGCCAAGTGAACAATTTTAGATTAGATTAGAAAGTCTTTATTGTCCCCAAGGGGCAATCTGCTTTGCAACAGTAGTCAACACAACGAATACTGGATTATAGATTACACTCAACTTTTCCCAACTTTCCCAGACTTCATCTGTGAGAACGAATGTTACTTTTCTTAAATGTCTAAAGGATTAAACACAAACTAAAGACAATGACACGGAGACGCATGAACAGTTTTTTCAACACTGAACATGAACTTGGTCTTTGACAGCTTGATTGACGACCTGTAGTGAGGCTGTTTCCCTGTTTGACTTTGGACTTCTAAAACTTCTTGTGACTGGTTGCAAATTTCTACTGGTAATGAGCGACTTCTCTTTTCCTTCTCATTTTTACCATCTTTAGAGTTAAAATAAATTAATTAGTGGAAAAGAAGAATCGATTTTGGTGCAGAGAGACAGTTTATTCTCTTTTCTGACTTTCAAACTCTCCATTATAGATTGGACTTGTATTATGATGATTATCCGTCCACGAACCTAACCTTTGGCTAACTTCTCTACATGACAAACAGGTGTAGGAGGTCTCTCCAGACCGTGCTGATATCACTTAATCTCTTTCAGTTGGAGGAATGTATAACCTGATTGGAGGGCTGATGTTTCGCAGCAGCTGAAGCTCTCAGAGTCCCAACGCCTGTGACAAACGGCAGGAGTCAGGATCTTCATCACTGTGGCCGTTATGACGTTTTCTGTTAACTGTGGCGTTTTCTTGGACTGCTCCTGGTTAACGCCGGTCTGTCAGGGTCATGTTAGGACATGTGTCACTCTGCAGAACTCCTGTTTAAACTTGTCACTTCAGTGTAATTGATTGTGAGACATGGATTTTATGGCTTGATGCTAGATTGTAGATTGTCTTTTTTGTTGTTGGATTATTTTGCTTCCTGTTTGCATTGATCTTTCTCTGGGGGGCTTAACAAAGTCTGACCACTCCTGTGTTTGTCTTTAAAGAAGAAATGGCAGCATTAGCTTGTGGCCTTTTATTGTTTATAGAACAAACAGCAAACTAATGTTCAGAAATCAAACTTATATAACACTAGTTCAAAATGGGAAACCACGGGAAAGGTACTAAAACCCCAACTATGTTAAGACAATGCCAACATGCACGTCATAAGATGGTTAGATGATTAAATAATTAACAGCTCTTATTGGGCAGAGCTGAAGTGCTTTATTATTCTAACAAGACTGAAGTAAGACATGGTGACTTTAGCTTCCTGAGATCTATTTCTGTAGACGAATTTAATGAATCACGGCAATTTGTGGGAGTGAATCATCTCTAA